AAATTATTTAGCATAAATCAGTTAAATGACGAAAAATTAGGTGTCTATTTACTTGTGACCACTCGGTGTATAGTTTCAAGTTGTTTTTCTCATAGCAGGTTGTCTGTCACCACAATTTCTATCTGTTTATTGTTTCAATTGTATCACTTTTTTTCCTTATAGTTCTTAAGAAAGGGAAGACTGTAAAAATAAAATTTTTATTAATAATATTGATAATAAGCATAAGACATTGTAGTTCCATTGTTAATTTGGAATGGCTTCAACTATTAAATACAGGGTTGAAATAACTTGTGTATTGGTAGCCTAAAGCTTATTCAACCTTTTGCAAAACAGATTGCATGTTATGAATTAAAGAAGAACATACAAGATTGGTCAAAATATAGTCAAATTGTAAGGTTTTGCTAGATTTTTCACACATACACATTAAAAAAATCTGATTCAATGACTATGTTAGCCTTCCAGAAAAACATGCATTAACTTGTTTAATTTGATTGAAATAATCACTTCTAAAAAATAAATATGAAGCCCAGTCTGTCATTTGATTCACCTCTTGTCACTGAATTATACTACCTTAAAGGAATTTCACCCCACTTCTGTAACCTTGGACAAGGACAAATCAAGAGAAAAAAATTAGGCTTCTTATAATAGATCAGGGCAGAGCTGTATTTATACTACTTAAGGATCGAGGCGCAAAGACAGACTGAAGCCCCTTAATTTAAACTTATAATTCAGTTATCCACTTGGCTAAGGTTGATGTTTTAAGGACAAATTAGCCTTTTAGACTACCCCATTGGCATTTAAAAATAAATTTATGCAGGCCAAATGATATTTGGTTTTTTCAAATCTATTGAAGAAAATGAATAAATAAAGAAAAATGTGATAATTAGAAGATTTATTTTTATAATGCTCTCTATTAGCAGTGTATTTTATGATGCGACTAAGAATGGATTATTTTATGTTCTTTTCAGGTTTAGAATCTAGCAATATAAATTCTGCTATTTTATTCATACACATGGCAATAACCATTGTCGTTTGCTTCCATGACTGCCTCTGCGTGCATTTGCTTTGCAATATATATTGGTACTCTTTAGGATCTTATGTTAATCTTTTGGAATTAGTGGCGGCTGTACCATTAAGGCAAATTAGGCATCTGCCTAGTAACCCCAATTTCCTTTGGGAGGCCCTGCGTGTGACAAATTATTTTTAAATATCTACTTCATTTAAATCTCCACAAAGGTCTGTTGACCCATACGCATTATTTGTGCATGAATTTTATATCAATGGATAGGAAATTTTTTTCTTTTAAGCAGGTGTCACATTTTCACAAATAAAAAATCAGCATAAGCTACAGGACCCATGAGGCCCCATTTTTTGTCAAGGCCCCCAGCTAGTGCCTCATGCACCTGTGCATAAATCTGGCTCTGGTGGAGTGTATATTATATGTATGATAAATTAGAAACAGAAGTAAAGTGTTGAATTATTTATTTATATGTATGATGTTTTGTCTTGTACGTGGCAGTGAACTGTGTATATATATATATATAACATTGATGCTACTAACTTATTTTTCTAAGTTATTCAGCAGACAAGCTGTTTGAAATATTATAAATAAATATGAAGAACTTGACTGATATTAGTTTAGTTTGTTAATAGCATATTTTTCACTTTACAATTGCCTTTAACTATTGAAAAAACAAATTCCATTTTTACATAAGTTGCACAAAAATCTGTCAGTTGTACAGTATATATATAATACCAACAAAAAGATAATATGAAAATAATATTACAGGATCTGGATAGGAATCAAAAAGTTGTTAGCTTACATCGACATGGCTCGTCAGGTAAGCTTGTCTTTTTGTCATGTTGCATTTATCTTTGAATAAATACTTGTTTATTTTGAAGGGTCATTGTTAATCTTAAAAAATTAAGAAAAAATATACAGCCTTTTCAGTTTTATCACATTTTATTTACATATGTGAAGCTACAAATTTGGGAATAATTATTTGGTTTTACTTGATAACCTTTGAGTAGTTGTATTTATATCAAAATATATATAAAACAAAATTGTTTAGTTAATTTTCTCATTATTGAAAAAATTGAAATAATATTTTAATTTTAATATGCAAATGTTTTTAAACATCTCTATTAACTCTTTGTCATTTTTACCCTAAAAAATAAAGCCTGTTGTTAATTCCTTGTTAAGTCTTGATTTTTATTATTTTATTTGTTATTTTCATAAGGTTTATCTTAACCTCTGTTAAATTTCAGACTGACAAAGAATATCGTGTCATCAAGTTTATAACAAAACTGGAAGAAGAAGGAGCTATACTTCTTTAATAAATAAATTCCATCACAAATGAGGACTTTTAATTCTCACATTCCATTGTTAACACTTCTGTTAGGCTATAATATTACTTGTGAATTGATTTCTTATTCTCTAATTAGCTTATAAAACCATGCCTACTTACATGTATTTAAATTTTTCCTATTAGCTTGAAAATGTTTATAAACTTGATTTTCTTTGATATAAACAGATTTGTCTAGCAATGTAGTCATACTATTGGATAGTGAGTAGGAATAAAACATTCTTAAAGTTATGATTTTTTTTTCAGTAAGAAAATAGTTTTAAATCCTTAACTGGTACATTTACAGGAGCCTTCAATCCATCTGAGAAGTTTCTATTGAAAATAAAAGTTTCAATAATACTAGATTTTCTCTAATGCTGTAATACAATCATACATAAGTTAAAGAACAGAAATGATTTGACATTTTAGTGATTTTCTATTCTTATCCTTAAAATACTTATGTCTAACTAGAACAGTAAGTACAACTTGTGCATATGTTTTGAGAATTATAACCAAAAGTTGTACTTCTTAGAAAAAGTTGTTTGAGTCCCAACATTGTCATTAGGTGTCTCCTCTACAAGTTTTTTTCAAGTACTTATACAAGTTGTATAGAAAATACTTCTGTTTTAATAAGATTTAACCCTAATGGTAAAATATCTATTTGATACTGCATTTGTAAAGATTCTTTCAAGTGTCCTTTTTTTATCGTGTAAAATAAGTATGCATTTGTTGATATTTATTACAATTTTCACTATGATTGCAATAAAAAGCTTGTTGGTTAATCGAAAAGCTAAAAAGATGTTGTGACCATTATACTATAGTTCCTACATAGTATAAATGTAAGCAAGCATCAGGTGAATAACATTATATATGATATTTTTTCCTGTAAAGTAAATTCTTTTTTCACAAACTTTGATACCCATCTTCTTTTTTTAGGCATGTAAGATATTAGGTTTAATGAGGGGTTGATTATTAACATAGGATGTAAAAAAAATCCTGTAAAATTACTATTTTCTTTTAATGTAGCCAATACATAATACTGTAGGTAACTTGGGAAATACTGTGTCAAATATGTTTTATTTATGTAGAGAAAAGGATTGCTAAGGATTCCTGTGTAACGCTTGAAATGTTCCATGAAATATATATGTGTGTATATCACTGTTTTTTGGTATTAATGTTTGACGCACATGCAGAAACAAGAGACATTATGGAGCTCATCAGGTATAAAAATCTTGTTGTCCCTTTAGGGCATGCTAGTTATCGCATGATTCTTGTCCCTTTAGGGCATGTAGTTATCACATGGTTGTTGTCCCTTTAGGGAATGCTAGTTATCACATTTTTGTTGTCTATTTAGGGAATGCTAGTTATCACATGACTGTTGTCCCTTTAGGGCATGTAGTTATCACATGATTGTTGTCCCTTTAGGGCATGCTAGTTATTGCATGATTTTTCAATTACATTGTTGTAATTCTTTTTGTATAGTCATCTAATTTTACTTCTTGCTTTCCTGTTACAACCTATACACATACCTATAACTTATAAATAGCATTCATGTTATTAAATTAGGTGATGTAATCATAAGTATTATTTAATATAGAATAGTCTGATCATTGCAGTGTGTTTGAACTTACTACTAATGTCAGAACACACTTATACAGGCACTTTTTATTGTAGTAAGATACATTCTTATATAAGTCAACATAGTTTTTACAACAAAGCAGAATTTTTTCTTGCTTGTTAGCTATCAAAGTCAAAAGATGATAGAGGGATAATTCTGACTTATCTAAAAAACTGATTATAAATATTCTATGTTCATGTGCTTATTGTGTCGTGTAATTCATAAGTGTTTGTGATTTGTATTTCTTCATAAATTATCCAGAAAATGTGTAATAATGTACAACATAAACCTATGTTATTTATTATAATATTTTCTGTTTACTTCCAGTCTTATTTGATGTGTTGTAATTCTAGAGTTTAGAGATAACTCTTTTTTTTTTCTTTTTTGAAATTCTTTTTATCACACTTCAGTATGAAATACAGGGAACAATAACATGAATATGTTGTAATGTAAACATTCCATTATAATAACATCTAGGCTAAAAAAGGTTACCATATAGTGAAAGAAAGTCATTTGCTGTTCTTCTTTTTCATTACCTCTTGCAATATGTGGTTTTTTTCCTGTTGATTTGATGAAATGTTTTTCTTTAAAACATTATCAAGTTAATATGTTACGTAGCAAGTGCATGTTGTGGTATGTAAAATAATGTTATGTAAGTACAGAACAGGTTATAAACATGCTGTTGGATTTTCAAGATGTGCAGAAGTGTACAGTAGCTTTTAAACACTAAAAATTACATTCCGGTGTATGATTTTAGTTGGACAAGTTATTTTAGGAAATTGATAAACACCTGTCATTCCTTTTGTTTTCAGCAATATTTACTTAAACAATAAACTGTCATAATTTAAGAATTGGTGGGTAATATTACATGACCATAAGGTTTAAAAAAAAGTGTTTGTAGAAAATAGAAATTTGAAAATCCTAAGTAAATCTTTATCATTAAAAGTAAATAGCAAGTAGTTAAGGGAAGATGCTAAGATATCATTTATGAAGTTCATAAATATAATGTGATAGCCAACATTTAGTGTCAAGTAAAAACATCTGTTCATAATAGTTTATATGAAAAGGCTAAAGATGTTGTTAAATCCTTTGATATTTATATTTGTACTGTGATTTTCTGACTGACAATTTATTAATGTAATTAACTAGCTGTATCAACATATTTATTGGTGTTGTCAATGTGCAAGTTCTACTGTTTGGTGTGACCTTGCTGTGTATATTTACAGAATTTAGAATTAAATATAAATTCATGACTGATTGATTTGCTTGTGGTGTTATCATGCAACTAAATTTATAAGTACATTTACAATAATGAAAATATATGTTTATTTGACTTAAAACCACAATTTTATGTTCTATTAGCCTAGTTGTTTTTACGTACTTTCCTTTGATTGTGGGCCTGGCATGGCCAGGTGGTTAGGGAGCTTGACTCACAATCTGCGGGTCACGGTTTTGAATCCCCATCCCACCAAACATGCCCACCCTTTCAGCCGTGAGGGGGTGTTATAACGTAACGGTCAATCCCACTATTCATTGGTAAAAGAGTAGCCCAAAAGTTGGTGGTGGGTGGTGATGACTAGCTGCCTTCCCTCTAGTCTAAATTAGGGATGGCTAGCACCGATAGCCCTCGTGTAGCTTTGTGCAAAATTCAAAAACAAACCTTTGGTTGTATTTTTCTAATTTTTGTTTTCCTAAGTTTGACAGAATCTGATGGTTCTACATTGACACATAATTGATCTATGCACTACCCCTAAATAACAAATGAGTCAACAATGAAGTCATAAATAATTCTTGTAAATGGAATTAATACAACATTGTTCCTGAATCTAATTTGAACATAACTTCAATTTCATTATTCTAGTACAGTCAGTAGAATTTAAACAAATCAAACTCAAAACACATTAAATATGGAGTTTTATTTTGATCAGTAGTTATTTGATGATAATTAAGTATAATACACAGTCGGAAATTACGACACAAATAGTTGTCTTGTAATGTGTACTTCAAGTCAATAACACATGCAGTGTATTAATAACTATTATGTCATGCCACATGTTGAAAAAACATTTCATAGTTAATAAAAAATGTGACAGACTTTAGTACTTTATTCTTTGGTGATTATCTTGACCAAAGTAAATATATGTCGAACTGATTCCCAAGGTGCTTCAAGTTAAGAAAAGCTTATTTCCATCTAGTTTTGTAACACCTCGCTTTTATGCCTTACCAAGAATCCGTGAACTAATTGTAGCCTTAGGCCTATTGTATCTAATGTAGCTACATTTACCCAGTATACTGCAATGTGCATTGCTCAATGGTTTTCTGTTTTCTTTGTAAAAATAAACACATTATTAAAACCTGCTAATACCTGTTGATACAAAGAATAGTATTAAGCTTAATCTTTCTCACCAGCTGGTATCGTTTTATATAGTTTCATTTTTAACTAGGGTTCTTGTGGAAGAAGCTATTGATCACTTTCAGGATAGATTAGTGTGAGTTTTTATCTCTCTGATTTAAAATGAAGCCATTATTAAGTTAATTAGAATGTATATTGAATTTTTTTAAAGTTAATAGTAAGTATTACTACAAAAATACTGGATTAGCCATGGGATCCTAACTTTCTTACCTCCTTTGCGATCTTTATATGGATAATTTTCAGTGCATTGTTCTTGATAATTCTCCTGTAAAACTTGATTGTTGGATTAGATTCATGTATGGCACATTTTTATTGTCATGGTATGGAAATGCTATAGTATATGAATATATCATAGGTTTCTTCTTTTTGTATTATTAATATTTAGTCTGAATTTATTCTTTGTATTTTGTGTGGGTGTGGCATGCAGGCATACTGTGTCTCCTACCATCTATGATGTAGTTTGTTTTGTTTTCCTAATTATTAATTATTTAGCTTTGGCATCAACATGTGGCCCAGGGTGTCTGATTTTATCTTGTTCTAGCCACCTCAACTCTTTGTTCTTTTGCTAAATGACATCTGCCAAAAAGATATTTCTTTGATTATTTAGTTTCATCACTTCACTTACTTGGGAAGTTGCGTGAGCTCGGAGGGAAACCTGAAGCGTGAAATAGATGCGAGAATCAGAGCAACCTTCCATGACTTGAGACATCTTTGGCGTCACAAAGGGATTTCTCTTAAACTTAAGGGACGGGTGTACAGGACCACAGTAAGAGCCGTTCTTCTCTACGGCTGTGAGACCTGGACCCTTCGAGTCGAAGATCTCGAACGTCTTCAGGTGTTCGATCGTCGTTGCTTGCGTGGTTTTGCGGGCACCGGAGGATCTGAAACTCCACGGTCCGTGATCGTATTCTAGGACCAGAGTCCGATTTAGGAACGCTCGTGAACTTGAGCAAACTAAGATGGCTCGGACATGTATTGCGTATGTCACCGAGCCGCTTCCCACATAGGACACTCTTTGCTACCCCCAATTCTAGCTGGCGTAGAGTACGTGGGGGCCAGGCGCTGACCTGGAGCCGTCAGATGAAAGGGCTTACAAGTAGATTAGCTTCAGTTGGCAGGGTTAGACTCCCTGGATGGGGTCTGCGCGACGCCGCAGACCAATGGCTGTTAACACTGCAGG